AATTTAGGCTGCACTTAACTGTACAGTCCCCTGTGTGGGTCAGGGTGACTTCTTTTACTACCAAAGGGATTGCCAGGAAGTGTGTCCCTTCAGTTTACATTATTTCTATATTAAATCTTGAAGAAAGTGTAAGACATGGATTGGCAGAGCAGGCGGATGGAATCCAAATAAAGCTCTCTAGTCAGGAGAATCCAAAGAAAGCTCAGAGCTATGGATGATTAAATTAGACACAAGGGGTATGAACTGATTTGCCTAACTTGGATGGAGGACCAGTGTATTGTGCAGTAAAAAGGAAAGCAGTTCAAGAAGCTAAGGAAGGATTTTAGATGCCACACTGAAGGCACTTGATCTTCAGAAGGGAACCTGTACAATTTCTTAAGCATAAGAGAAATTTTAAAGGTGACTTGAGATTAATCTGTCATTATGTCACAGAACAAAAGGAAGCTGGGGCGGCAATTGTAGCTCAGCTTGCATGTCAATGCCAACCATTTGTGGTAGCTTCTTGCAGCCTCACATTAAGAAAATTCTCAGGCTACTTTGACTCATGGAGGAAGTGCCTTGATCTGTTAGTTCTGTCTGAGGTAAGCACAGGAAACTGGATATTTTCTATTTTGATAATAAAACCAAGAATTAGTAAGTGATCATTGGACAATGGAGGATAATGTAATGGTAACTTAAAATGCAATTTGTACCTTAAAATTTAGTTAGGAGGAAAAATGCACAAAAACAACTCTATATCCACATAAGGCATTATGTGATTGAGTGAACCATATGGTGATCTTTCTGTTTTCTATTACTATGATATTCATTTTAGAGCTGAAGAGACTTAATTTAGGCTGCACTTAACTGTACAGTCCCCTGTGTGGGTCAGGGTGACTTCTTTTACTACCAAAGGGATTGCCAGGAAGTGTGTCCCTTCAGTTTACATTACTTCTATATTAAATCTTGAAGAAAGTGTAAGACATGGATTGGCAGAGCAGGCGGATGGAATCCAAATAAAGCTCTCTAGTCAGGAGAATCCAAAGAAAGCTCAGAGCTATGGATGATTAAATTAGACACAAGGGGTATGAACTGATTTGCCTAACTTGGATGGAGGACCAGTGTATTGTGCAGTAAAAAGGAAAGCAGTTCAAGAAGCTAAGGAAGGATTTTAGATGCCACACTGAAGGCACTTGATCTTCAGAAGGGAACCTGTACAATTTCTTAAGCATAAGAGAAATTTTAAAGGTGACTTGAGATTAATCTGTCATTATGTCACAGAACAAAAGGAAGCTGGGGCGGCAATTGTAGCTCAGCTTGCATGTCAATGCCAACCATTTGTGGTAGCTTCTTGCAGCCTCACATTAAGAAAATTCTCAGGCTACTTTGACTCATGGAGGAAGTGCCTTGATCTGTTAGTTCTGTCTGAGGTAAGCACAGGAAACTGGATATTTTCTATTTTGATAATAAAACCAAGAATGTCTCACAGCAGAAAAAAAATGAAAGTTGTATTAATTCATTTTGAACATGATTAGGCACAGAATCGGAGCCACAGAAGGGAAAATGTAAAGGTAATAAAACCAAGATTTATAAGTTTTAGTAATCAAATTGAGAGAGAAAGTCAGGAACATGAGCAGTAAACATAACCCTGAGCATTTAAAGTGCAGAGAGGTGAGAGCCAGACGGTGTCACTAAGCAAGAGGGAGACGGGGGACCCAGAACACTCTGGGGCGTCAGAGAAGGGGCATGAGTCGGCCGCTGGGAGAAATACTCTGAATGACTTTTGATCTGTTTTGAAATATTCTAATGAATTTTAACTACTATAAAAGGGTCACTGGGTGCCAAGATTTCCCAAGGACACAGGAAGGTGACAGTGCCCATCAGTTACTGTTCTGTGCAAAGTGGGCTTGGTCTAGTGATGCACAGGGGAGAATGCCCTTAGAAAGTTTCCAGATTAGCAGAAAAGTCACTCAAGAAATGATCATTAAACAAGTACTATACTAGTATTATAATGTTCATTGAAAGCATATGGCAGTGAGACAGGGACCATAGATGTAGTGAGAATAGAGTGAGGGCCTCCGGAGGGTCAGGGTGGAATATCTGCTGTGAGAGCAATGTAACTACATGCAAGGAAACCCCCACCCCCGCTAAAACTCTATGTTAAACATTGAGCTCTAGAATCATTCTTCAGTGAGATCAGTTAATATTCCCCAGATAAAGTAGAGTAGCACATGTTCTATTATGCTAATCATTTGTAACCATGTGTAAGAATCACTTCAGCATGCTAAAAGGCCCAGGCCTATGTGCTGCCTTTCCTCCTTCAGATCTGACAAGGTGATTTTGCGAACTGAGCAACTGACTTAGCATGCAGACCCAGGTGTAGACGGCATAGTAAAGGGCAGGAAGAATTCCATCTTAAAGATAAGATTGCATTTTAACACCCAGGAAGGTCAAGAGGCAAGATTCTTTAGCAAGTACACAATACCTCAGCCCACCTTGGGGGCTGGGCAAGCAGCCTTTTGATACGCTCCCAGACCAAGGCGCCAGTGTCCCGGAGACAAATCAAGGCAGGAAATTCCTTACAGTTAAGTTAATTTTTTAATATTCAGGGACCACTTAACAAGTCACCACCCCTAAGTTTTTTCATGTTCTCGAAAAATCCTGAACTGCCTATAAAACCTCCTAGACAACGCACCACTACGGACTCTCTTGTCCCCTCCTGGCATGAGCCGGGAGTTCTGTCCTTTCACTGTATCTCTAAATAAAAGCCTGTACTTTGCTCTCCTACCCTGACTGTTGGTGAAGCTCATTCTTCGGCTCCGCAAACAAGAACCCCGGCATCAGCAGGACAAAGTACATTTGCCATAAGAAATCAGAAAAGATCAGAGAAGTTGACCTCTGAGCTGGACCCATGTTTGGATGGGTCAATGCATATATTTATGTTATATATTCATATGTTATTTATTTATACAATATTTATTTTATTCTGGTCTATGCTATGTTATATATTTATTTAGAGCATATTATATAAACATTCCACATGTTCTTTATTTATTATTGTTAAGAGATAACTTTAGTTGTTTTCAGATTTGGTGGAATTATAAAGAAAACTACTATGAACAATCTTATATATGGTTCTAGGTACAAATATTAAAAGATTCCTTTTTTATTGACTGCAAAAGTGCAAAAATTAATATAAGTCAGTTTTCCTGTTTTTTTAGTTTATATAAATGGAATTGGAATTTGACAATGTTTCCCATTGTCCTGGGATTTTTTTGCCCAATTCTGTTTATAAGACTCATTCAATTTTCATTATTGTGTAAGTATACCAAATAATAAATAAACCAAATAAAAAAACTCGTTGTATAAGTAAGCCATAATTTATATGTATCTGCTATTCTTTTGGGAAATATGAATTGTTTCCAGGTTTGGACAGTTGTGAACATTCTGATCTGTGTAACTTGATACACATAAGTTCTCTTTTCTTTAGGATGTTTAACTAGAGGTGACATTTTTGATCAAAGGGTATGTGTATTTTCAACTTTATACAATATTGCCAAATTGTTTTCCAAGGTAGTTGTAAGTTTATACTCCCACCAGCATTGTAGGAAACATCTTGTTGCCCTACATCCACAGGAACCCTTGGCAATGTCAGACTTTTGAATTTTTATCAATTATCATATAATACATATATTTTATCAATTAATATATATTATATATTACCAATCAATATACTATATAAAATAATACTATAGTCATATATATATTACATAAAATATATAATATTAATATATATAAAGTAATATTATATATATTCATTGTGGATTTAATTTGCATTTTCCCAATAATTACTGTGACTAATAGTCAAGCATATTCTCATATGCTTGTTAGTAATTTTGAAAATGCTGTTTGTGTCTTTTGCCCATGTTTCCACTGAGTCATCTGCCTTTTTTTACTCATTGACTTGTAGAGAACAGTCCTTTCTCTATCTTATATGGTACATCTATCTTCTTCCCCTCTGGCTTATCTTGTGCTTCACATGGTGTCTTTTATAAACAAACACTAATAATAATCTAATGAAGTTTAATGGTCATTTTCTTAATGTGCATTTCTTATATTTTCTTTATTTCCTTCTGAATTTATATTTTGCTTATCCCTCTTAGGACTTTGACCTACCTGGTGTTGTGTGGAGGGTACAGTGTGGGATAGAGGTATAATTTCATTCATTATGAACACGATTGCCTCATATGGCACATTAACAAGCCTGTCCTTTCCCCACTGCTCTGCAGTGCCACTCTTGTCACAAGACAAGTACCAATATATGTGAGACCCCTCCATCCCTCTCAGGCTTTTTACTCTTTCCTAGTGATGCATTAATTTATCTCTGAACTAACACTGGATTGACTATTAGAGCTTCATCATATATCTTGATAGCTGAAAAAAGAAAAATGCTCTCCCCCTTGTTCATGTATTTCAAGAGTGCCTTGCCTATTCTTGGCTATTTGAGTTTCTATACAAAATTTAGAGTGAGCTTGTCAACTTCCATTAAAATGCCCTATCAATAAATTTGACATAAAAAAACTGACATATTTTTGATACTGAGTATTCTAATTAATGGACACTGAATTTCTTTCACATATTTATAAATGCCATTTACTCAAGTGTTTCAACTATCTTTAATACTTTGTAATTTTTACACCTTCACCCTATGTAGGTCTGCGCAGCATTAGTTAAATTTACTTCTCAAAGAGTCTAGGAGGAGAGTAGTAGGAGTAGAAGGATGGAGAGGAGAGAGAAGACGAAGGAGAAGGGGAGAGAGAAGAAAGAGAGGGAAGAAGAAGACGCATATAAGAAAGAAGAGGAGTGGAGAGAAGGGCAGAGTAGGGAAGGGAAGGGGGGGACAGAGGAAGGGGGAGGGTGGAGAAGGAAGCTGAGTATCAGGAGAAGGGAAGAAGATTTCATTCTCTGGTCTATATGGACATCAGAACACTTAGGTTTGGTTTGGTTTGAAGCTAACTCACCATTGTAGTTGCCATTGGATAGGGAATTGAGCAATGTGTTCTGTTCACACTGAAAACAAATATAAAGAGGAATAACATTTTAAACATTCACTTCTTTCCCTAAAAAAAAGCACATCATTCTTTTCTCCATAAATAACAAAATCTAGTCTTCAATAATAATTTTTCACTAGCCTTTTTTTCACAATGATAAAACAACAAACTGAAATAATGATCATTGGTTCTAAATATATATTAACTTGGTAATTTATGTTACCAGGTTAGACTATCTTCATTAGACCATCTTCCACAAGACTAAGTTTGTTGTGATTTTTTATCAGGAATTAAATGGCAAATGTTTTACGTGTAGTGTATCCAATCAGAAATTAACCTCATTCACACAGCATTCTCTGAGAGTGAGCCATTATCCATATATTTCATATTATATAAAATCTAACTGTTCATCTGTAGCTCCATGAAAATACCTGAGAAACATTCCTGGTTTATGGACATGCTAGAGAATGAAAATGACTGTATCCTACAATTAAACTTCTCTGAAGTTGACAATAATCAATGCCTTTAATGAGATCACATTCTATCTACTTCTCAAATAATGTGTTTTGTGATATATTTGATGATGATGATAGCAATGGATATTTTTTAATACTTATTATATGCTAAGGACTTTATATTAATTACTTAATCCTCAGAACATTCCTATGAAGTTATAATCTCATTTTCCATATGAGGGAGCTAAAGATTAGAAAGGTTAAATAGTAACCAAATTCACAAAGCTAATAGGAACCTGGACTAAAACCAAAGCTCATGCCTTTTCATTCTAAACATGCTTTCAACCACTACATTATACAGCTTCTTCCTTAAAATCAGTTTTCAATTTAAAGGCTGAGTAGAGAACATCTATTTGTCTTCTTGTACCCAATGGTGCAGCTTATTTATTTTAACTCTGGCTCTGACAGCTATCAGCTGCACAATTTTCACCCAGTTGTTTTAGTTTTCAAAGTCTCAATCTTCCTTTTCTGTAACATTCAGGTAATGCCACTTACATCATGGGGCTGGTGATAATTAAGTTAGATGGTTGAATTAAAGGGACTATAGGTAGCCCCCAACAGACAATCAATGCTGTGCTTCCTTTCCGTCTTATTAAAAATATCTTGTCTGAAATCTACGTAAAAGAATTTCAAATAATTTGTGTAGATACTCCACAGTCCCTAAGTGTGGTGGGTTGCACATGGTGACTTTCTTCCAAGGACTACAATATGGGAAGGGAGAAAGGAGAGTAATGTTACAGTGAAGAAACCAGACAATACTGCCTCATGCAGGTGATCAAGGTTAACAACAGGAGTGAAAATAATGTTGATACCCTTGAAACAACGTGGTGAAATGATACTTCACTTCTCTATTTTCCTCCTAGAAATCCATATCCACAATCTTACCATGAGAACAACACCAGATAAATTCCAGTAGAGGGGAAACACCTGACCAGTCTTACTAACAACTGTCAAGGTCATCAGCAAAGGAAAGTGTGCAAAACTGTCAGAGCAAAGAGGAATCTAAGAAGACAGGAAAATAAATGTAATGTAAGATCTTGAATGGAATCCTGTAATGGAAAAAGGACATTTGGTAAAACTAAGAAAATGTGAATAAAGCATAAATAAAGTTAATGATAATGTACCCACATACATTCATTGGTTAGAACTATCTGTCATAGTATGCAAGATGTTAATAATAGTGGAAAAACTGCGTGGGTATAGAGGAACTCTCTGTATGAACTTCTCAATTTTTTGTAAATCAAAAACTGTTCTCCAAAATAAAGTCTACTTTAATAAAAAAAGCAAAAAACCTTGTCTGAGCAAAAGAAAACTACAGATAAACATCAGATTGAAATATTTATCTTGCAAAGTGAGACCCAAAGTTGGTAATTAATATTATTATGGAGTTTTGGTAGCCATACAATAATAAGCATGAATCCATCCATCAAACACTAGCACACTAAGATCCTCCTGAGCTTCTGCATTCAGGAAGATATTTAATGGTGATATATAGGAAGTACATCTTCAGAGTGTAACAAAACAGGAAATCCTTTTTCAGTTTATATTTTGAGCAGGATGTGCTTCTTTCTGCCCTGGGGTGTTTTAAATGCCCTACCATAACTACCATATGTTGAAAATGAAGCTGCCAGGGAAGAGAAGAGCAAGGCCGCAGTAGGGCACTCAGTTTAAGACAGAATTGCAGACCGTCTTGCACAGCCCAATAAAGGGAGGCAAAGCTACAGTAGAAATCAACCGATGCAAACTTGTCTAAAACCAAACTTGGAATAAGTGGGTAGCCTAAAAACAAGATGGAGTGATCCTAGACAGACAGTATGTGACAAAAACAATATGAGGTGTCTAAAAGAGGATCCATGCTACTCAAGACCATCCATTTAACTATTCTGAATAAAGATTTACCTCCCGTTCCTCAGACAGCTGGGCTTCCAGACTACCACCTGAACCCTGGGTATATCCTTCAAAACTCATACTATGTAAATACACATAATATTTGCATTATCCTCATTATAGCAAATTCAGTCTTAATAAATCCTTTCTCACCATCACAGAGTTCTGAATTAGGGATTTCCTTTGGATGTCATTCAGTGAACTCTATTTTATTATTAGACTCAATTTCTGAAGTTCCAAGTAGGTAAAATCATGTATGTGGAACTTCCTCACAGAAGGCTGGGTTAATGGGGTTAATTTCAGACTTGGCATGCTGCAAGGTAAACACAGGCCAAGTTTCAATTTCTGAAAACGAGTTGGAACAACCTTAGTCTTGCAGAAAAATATTCCATGGAAAACACTATTGACTATCAATAAATAGTATAAGAATCTTCACGTCAGAAACTTTACTGGACATAATAGTCTACAGAGTAGTTTATCACTTGAAGAAGGAAATTACATTTTAGTAACATAAGACCACAGACTTCTTGTGTGTTAATCAGGTTATTTGGGGCTCTGCACAAATTTTCCCACAACAGTGTTAGGCGTAGTGGCTATGAGCTTATGTCAGCCACAGAACCTACCTGTCTCATGATACAGCTGACCATTGCTGTGGCTTTGTGACAGAAATAGGCGTAGTATCCAACCTGAACTACTAGGAATGTATCTCTGCCTCTGTCATGAGAACCAGTTCTTCTCAACCCAAAATCACAATAATCTGATGAAAATTACATCCTAAAAAGTACAGTGAGAGGGCCCAAAACAGGTCTGGAGATACATAGGCAGTGCCAGCTTCATGGGCTTATGCCCTGTGCAGCTGCACAAGGTCCCATGCTTAGGAGAGTCTCCTTGGTTTAGTTCTCTGCTGTCACCATCTTAAAATTCTTAATAATTATTGAACAAGGGACCTCACATTTTCATTTTGTATTATGCCCAGCAAATTATATATCTGATCCTGAATTTAGATTCTCTATAGTATGGATCAGTATGAGACCTGGAAGCAGAAGTATGAGGCTGCAAGGGACAGGAATGTGGTCCTGGACAGCTCCCAGGACCCCAGAAACAGAAGAGTAAAGATTGTCTATGTGCCTGAGTGACTGCAAGATAACATATGTTCAAGGATACGAGAAAAAAGATCTCTGTGATCTGGAGTAGTCAAGGAAAGCTTCAGGGAATCACCTGCATTCATTCAAACTAATAATATTAGCTAAGATTTTTGAGTATTTATTCAGGAAGATATTTAATGGTGATATATAGGAAGTACATCTTCAGAGTGTAACAAAACAGGAAATCCTTTTTCAGTTTATATTTTGAGCAGGATGTGCTTCTTTCTGCCCTGGGGTGTTTTAAATGCCCTACCATAACTACCATATGTTGAAAATGGAGCTGCCAGGGAAGAGAAGAGCAAGGCCGCAGTAGGGCACTCAGTTTAAGACAGAATTGCAGACCGTCTTGCACAGCCCAATAAAGGGAGGCAAAGCTACAGTAGAAATCAACCGATGCAAACTTGTCTAAAACCAAACTTGGAATAAGTGGGTAGCCTAAAAACAAGATGGAGTGATCCTAGACAGACAGTATGTGACAAAAACAATATGAGGTGTCTAAAAGAGGATCCATGCTACTCAAGACCATCCATTTAACTATTCTGAATAAAGATTTACCTCCCGTTCCTCAGACAGCTGGGCTTCCAGACTACCACCTGAACCCTGGGTATATCCTTCAAAACTCATACTATGTAAATACACATAATATTTGCATTATCCTCATTATAGCAAATTCAGTCTTAATAAATCCTTTCTCACCATCACAGAGTTCTGAATTAGGGATTTCCTTTGGATGTCATTCAGTGAACTCTATTTTATTATTAGACTCAATTTCTGAAGTTCCAAGTAGGTAAAATCATGTATGTGGAACTTCCTCACAGAAGGCTGGGTTAATGGGGTTAATTTCAGACTTGGCATGCTGCAAGGTAAACACAGGCCAAGTTTCAATTTCTGAAAACGAGTTGGAACAACCTTAGTCTTGCAGAAAAATATTCCATGGAAAACACTATTGACTATCAATAAATAGTATAAGAATCTTCACGTCAGAAACTTTACTGGACATAATAGTCTACAGAGTAGTTTATCACTTGAAGAAGGAAATTACATTTTAGTAACATAAGACCACAGACTTCTTGTGTGTTAATCAGGTTATTTGGGGCTCTGCACAAATTTTCCCACAACAGTGTTAGGCGTAGTGGCTATGAGCTTATGTCAGCCACAGAACCTACCTGTCTCATGATACAGCTGACCATTGCTGTGGCTTTGTGACAGAAATAGGCGTAGTATCCAACCTGAACTACTAGGAATGTATCTCTGCCTCTGTCATGAGAACCAGTTCTTCTCAACCCAAAATCACAATAATCTGATGAAAATTACATCCTAAAAAGTACAGTGAGAGGGCCCAAAACAGGTCTGGAGATACATAGGCAGTGCCAGCTTCATGGGCTTATGCCCTGTGCAGCTGCACAAGGTCCCATGCTTAGGAGAGTCTCCTTGGTTTAGTTCTCTGCTGTCACCATCTTAAAATTCTTAATAATTATTGAACAAGGGACCTCACATTTTCATTTTGTATTATGCCCAGCAAATTATATATCTGATCCTGAATTTAGATTCTCTATAGTATGGATCAGTATGAGACCTGGAAGCAGAAGTATGAGGCTGCAAGGGACAGGAATGTGGTCCTGGACAGCTCCCAGGACCCCAGAAACAGAAGAGTAAAGATTGTCTATGTGCCTGAGTGACTGCAAGATAACATATGTTCAAGGATACGAGAAAAAAGATCTCTGTGATCTGGAGTAGTCAAGGAAAGCTTCAGGGAATCACCTGCATTCATTCAAACTAATAATATTAGCTAAGATTTTTGAGTATTGAATAGGCCAGGCACTATTCTAACTGCTTTGCATAGATTAATTTACTTAACCATCCAATTACAGATGAGGAAACTGAATCACAAAAGGTACAAAAACTCAGTTCCATAGCTTATAAGTGGCTAACCCAGGCAGTTTAATCCATACTCCAAAATCCATGCTTTTAACCTTGCAGAGGGCTCACAGTTTCAAATAATCACAGATAGCTTATTTACATGAAATCACCCTGATATACATTTGATTCAATATCTCTGTTAATTGAGATAACTTGTGGAGACAAAGAATGCTGGCATTTTATAGTATTGTAATGATGGCAACAGTTTATGCTTCTCTGACGTCATTTATCATATTCTACCTCCTTTAGATTTGAATCTGCCTCTTATGATAGAAAGGTCCTTTAAGCTAAAAGATTTGTCATATTTATTCTTCTAAGGGTTATAGTACCTACTACATATATCCATTAGACATATGCTGAATGAACAAATGAACAAATGAAATTAGCTGTAAGAATCAAATTAAAAGTATAATACAGTATAAGGTTTTGCTGAGGGGAGAGGTCTATATTATATTTTGTATCATTATGTGTTTTTTTAGTATAATGATATGAGGTTACCTGGAGCATGAGAACAGTGTAAGCACGAAACAGTTGATCCTACCTTGCTGTTATCATCCTGTAGCTGGATGCTGGCATTTTCCTTTTGGATTATGTTCATTAGATCAGTCTGAAACTTCTTCGCATTCAGGAAAACAAGTGGGTTGTTTATTGAAATGATTTTCACCTGCTGCAGGGTTTCCTTTCGGAAGAGAAAAGGAATAGATTCAAAGTTCTAAGTGAAAAGGAATGAATCTATATCGTACAAGTCCAAATGTCACTTAATCATGGAAGCAATCTCGTAGCTAACAATTTCATTATTAAAATTTATTTTGAGAACTGAATATACTATCGTGAATCTTAGGGAAAATACATACTTTCTCTTGTAAGAAATGTTAACCATGAGATGAGTCTGTAGCTTTTCAGAAAAAGAGCCTTGTTCCTATTTACTGAGATTTGGGAAAGTGACAGCCTAAAATAACCAAAGAGCATCTCGATGATCTATCCTCCCAAAAGTACCTCTTCCACTCAATCTAAATATTAAAAATTCATTCACTTAACCATCAGTGTTTTTATTAAACAATCAAAATATGTTCTACAGGGTCAACTGTCAGTCATTCACCTCATGACATAGCTTTCCTTTGGCTGGAATATAGCCTTACATTATGACTGATAGTCCTAATTGGGAGAAAAAAACCAAGAGGTGGTATCAGGAATGTAATTTTACTTTGGGCAGGTCTAGGCTACACTGGGTTTGCAATTGGTGGCATGCGACTAAAACTGTTTTCTTAGTGACCTCTAGGGCAGAGGCTGACCTAGAACTTGAGAGAATGGTAAGTTCTATGGAATAGTAACTCCTTACCAACTAAATAAAGCAACATTCCTTCAGCCTTCTCAGTACTCACACAGAAGAGTAGATGCAGAGAATAGTGAAACATACAGGCAGAGAATGAAAGATAAAAGAGAAAGCATTAGGTCTGTGAATTTGGACAATTCATTTAACCTCTCTGAGTTACATCATTTTTTAAAAGTATGTAAAATCTTAAACTACATGAACTCAAATTGTTTCTATAGCTACACAATGGAATAAACTAAAAAGTAGGATTTGCTACAAATATACAATTCAAGAAAACAAAAATCCTCAAATTACTGAATTAACTTTAACTCAAGAGTAAATCTCTTCCAAACCAAAAATAAGACCATTCTTGGACCTGTCATATTTTGTAATCAAAAAGCCCCACACCTTATATCGACCCACTAATCACACCACATGATCGGGCTAATATGTTATTTTAAGTAAATTTATTTTTTTTAAAGAAAGGTATTTGTTAAAGAATAGAGATTTAAATTGTGCCTGAGAAGAAATTCCCAATGCGGTTGAATTCCCTCCATGGGAAGAGAGCTCCCAAATTGAGAACAAGTGTTCTGTGTGAAGAAGGTCAATGAGTGCATGAGTAGGAGAGATGACAGACCACCCCAAACCTTAATTTAGCTTCAAACTCCACCTCAAGTTCATATTCACATCTTGCTCTATCTTAGTTTTTCCCTCTTATTTTTCATACAAAACATTAAATAATTAACGAAGTGTAATATTCTAATAAAATAAAGATTTCCATATGATACAGTTATTATTCAGGTAGGTAACTAGTCTGGAGACAAGGTTTAATGACATGGAGAGATTTCAGCATTTTCATCTTCCTACAAATCCCCTCATTTACTTCCCCACGTTTAGCCTGAGAAGATGGTACTGATTAGATAGAATTTATTAACTAGTAATCTTTAAGCTGAGAAATAGTCTACCCTTGAATTGTGTTTCAACGCTAAGACTGTCAAAGCTAATGTGTACAGCTGTGGCGGGGGAGGGGCGAGAGGGATGCACAGACGACTTCAGGGGCCAGAGATTCAGTCTGGCACTTTGCATGAACACTAAATTCCCATAAATAATTTAAAGGAAGAAAAGAAAGGCAGTATTGGTAGAAAACTGGAGCCTGGGACACCTTCAAAGACTCTGAATTCAAGTAGCTCTCCATGAAGCAAATCTTCCCATACTTATTAAAAACACAAGCCATTCCCCTGGATGTCACAGAAGGACTCCTGGTGCTACTTCCTACTTTCAGTCTACTCAGAAATATCCTGACATTGGTCCTTCTGATAAGAGGCCAGTTCTCTGTTCTGAGGGCAATCATAAGGTATTGAAACAAGTAAGTGAGAAAGATAAAGAAAAAAAAAGTCAACCAAACATTTACAAAGCAGGTTCAAAGTGAGGCCAATTTTTTTTCCTTTGCTTTATACTTATTTTGGTCATCCTTCATAACAAGAAACCAGAACCAAAGACAATTGGCTTGCCTAAGCACGGAGAGGGCAAGACAATGCATGAAAGCCATTGCCTTAAAAAGGTGTCCACTGTGCCAGAAACCAATACTCTTGGCATTCCATAACCACTGGATTAATTACTCTACTGTAAACTATAATTCTATGAACCATGCTATCATCTTAACTGACTACTAACACAAGACTGTTGTTGTTCTACTGATTTGTAGCATGTTCATACCTATTAGAAAGAGGATTATCATGTTTTTAAAGTCATAATTTATCTACTTACATATGTTAAAACTGACCTGCAGATATTGTTAATAATTACACAAAAGAAAAGAAAACTTACTCCATCCATTTCTGTCTTCATTTTAAATTCCATTTCTTTCATGTTTTTTATACTCAGGGTCTTTGTTCTAGAATTAAAGCAGATAGAAAATGTCATTTCCTAATTATTACATTAGCAATCAAGAAGCAAAAAGGATGTCATTGTATTTTAAAAATTAGAACATTTCTAAAATGATTCAGATCATCTATCTCATTTGTTCATAAAATATTGCCAAATCTATATTTGTCTAGGATCCTCAGGAATAGAGGTGACACAGAGACATCTAAGTAGTGTTTCATAATATAATTTACCTCATCTAGGCATCCAGAGCCCCATATCTCCAAGCTACAAGAGGTGGATTGACAAAGGAGAATTATAAGTACATACTGGTTGGGAAAATCTTGTTTAGGAAAAAGGAAGTTAAGAGGGAACCAAAGGCAAGATAGGACCAGATAAAGATGAAATAGATAGATTCTATAAAGACAGAATCTATAGAGGTAAAATTTCAAGTTTGTTAGAATATATTGTTTCACACAGGATTTCAAGGGGAGAATGAGAATGGGCAGAGGTATTATCAGATGATGAACTCCAGGAAGGCTGAAAATAATTGGCCAAAATAGGAAAACGGTTTACAAATGTTCGGTAAGAAGATAAAAAGAGAGAATGTGTTCTTCAATAAATTAACCAAAAGAAAGTATATATATATATTCACCTAGGCTTCTAAAAAATTTTATTTGCTTAATTTATTACATTTTATATGGTTTGTGTCTCATTGGCTAATACATCCCTTCACCTAATTAGAAAAAAAACAGCTCTGTGATGCAGTGTATGGCTGTGGGGTTATCATATGTAGACAAAAGCTTTGCTTTGCTTTTTGCCTCTATTTCTCTGCTACCAAGTCAAACATGAGACTGTAGTACTAAATACTCCACAGAAATAAAAGTAACTGGCAACACCTTATCCTTAGCAGCTGTGTCAAAATAAAGAGAACGTTTCAATAAGAGCTTACCTTGCAAAGCGACCAATCACAATAGCTATGGTACAGACAACCCCAAACAGCAGCCCCACATTGGCAGCAAAGCATATTGTGAATATGTAGGTACTGACCCATACACCCTGAGACAGAAACAGGAAACAGAAGATGTGGGTCCTTGGTATTCCCATCTTTCTTACGATTGCTAAATTCCTCACAATCTCATTCTACAAGATTCCTGTGACCAAATCTCTCAGCAAGAATATGTTATGTAAAAAAACAGAGAATAGAAGTCCAAAAACACAGGAACAAATCCTGACCCAATCAGACTCTCAGTGGCAAAGGTGGGGGGAAAGGAACATTCCTTAATTTCTAGACACTGCCAACATTTCATTTAACCCCAATAAACACTTTAAGATCTGTAAATAGCTGGTTCATATGTATAGTTCTAAAGCAAGCCATAATTTCCCACTGTTTTCTCATTTAATGTAATAGTATTACAAGCAATTGTTTGCAGATTTTAGGTCATTTTCAACAATATTCTGTTTTCTAGGACTGCTAGGAAAAGAACTAATGGAGTTTATTACTACATAAGACTCTCAGAGCCTAATGTTGAAATAACTTGAATCTATCAACTCTACTGATGACACTTTTAGATCAACCATTGTAAAGACTGTCACAATTTTATTTGCAAGGGACCACTATTTGTGAAATTATAAAAGCCACAATATTAGGGCTTAGTTCTTTGGAATATTTTAAAAGATTGCAAGAAAATTCTATTTCTCCTGTAGTTGGAATTCCAACGTTGTTCCAGTTATGTCCATCACCTGAAATTAAAATTTGCAACAATATATTGTATTATGGTTGACATTTCTAAGTTTATTGCTGGGAAAAAAATACCTTTAAAAGTAAAATAATTTATGAAACACAGATGATATTTTATAAATATAAAATCCTATTTTTATCAAACAGTAGAGAAAATATTCAAACTCCCTTTCTCCCAAATTACCTGCATCTCTTTTCCTATGCATACAATTATGTTAATTTTTTTCCCAATGACTAGATTATTGTTTATAACATCTTCAAACAACTTAATTCAATTCCAAATGCAAATGAAAGAGTTAGAAAATTCTTTAAAATCTGAAAATAACAGATTCTTGGGGAGGTGAAGTTGGTTTTTTTTTTTCAAACAAGTTTGAAACAAATGTTTCTAACGGACATTTTTTGCTTGAAATGCTTCTCCTTTGTATTATTTAGATGCACAGTCCTTGAGTAGTTCTTAATGATGGGCTGTTTTGACAAGCTAAGTCCTTGGGAGCAAATGGAAACATTTTTATCTGTAATTTATGCTTTTAGTATAGAAGAAACAAACATTCTGGAGTAAAAGATAAAATGTATTTTAAATGTTGTCATGTGAAGATCCATCACCAACAAATGTTATACTGAATTAGCACTTACTACATTATCCTCTGCCTGCCATCTAATAGGATAGACACTAGGCTCTTTCTCCTGTACTCAGGTGAATAGACATTTGAATCCTATTTGTACACAGTGTGTTTTTTATACTATACTTGATCATATTACAAAATGAGGCTGCAAGTTTTAATCATTACTGCAACTTTCTATTATTGCTCTGTTAGTTACTCATCCCTTAATGCTGACTAAACCTGCCAGGCTATGGCGGAATAAGACCTCACCAAAAGCTTTGTAAGTCCAACTCCTCCTGGATAACCATGATTCAGTATAGCATAGGGAACTGAGGAGTCTGGTCCCTGCCATTTAAAAAAAAACACAGGGCCTGGTGGCTATGTTCATCAGAGAAACCAAAAAGTTTGGTACCATCTGGTTCTATTTTTAAAGCATATTTACTCTCTACAACATCATCTATTATATGCTGGGCTTACAATGCTAAATTACTTCCTGAGGCTACACTTACAGCTTTGAAAAAAATCAAATGGAAATTAGTAACACAGACCAGTAAACAGTTCCACTGGTTAGAATAAGTCCCAACACTATTCTGCAGCAATTCCTATTAAAGATTCAAATGCTGGTTGTCACAGTTACAAGGAATTGGTTAGTTCTTGGGCCCCTATATATATATTTTTCGTTACGTGTTCCTGCTGTCTCTTCCCTATTCATCACTCACAGACAATACAAGATAATCCCAAAGTTGACCTCAAGTAATGAACACACAAACCCTTATTCCTTATAGAAAATAAATCAGTATAAAGCACAGTTTAACAGCTACTCAATCACTTCACCTCTCCCTGATCCATCTGTTATCCTGTTTTGGTGATTGATACATTTTATTAAATTTCTATAGGTCTGAACTTTATCCCCATTATTCAGTTACTCAAACTTAGTCTGAGCCTGTGAGTCAGGCTTCCATTTATATCTCTATTTCTTCATTTGCTCAAAGAGTGTTTTGTTCCACAACTCAAAGTAAAATCATTACTAAACTGTAAAAAATTAAAGAAACAAAAATTTCTGATTTTTCATGTGATGACTAATGACATAATTTTTTAAAACTTTCAACCTTCAAATTATTTTACACATACACACATCTTTAGCAACTTTATTTCCATGATGTTTTAGGCATATTTTATCTACTGCTGAGTAATCTGGACATATTCTGTGTACTGGACAATATAGCCAATATCCAAAATAGTCTGCACAATATTCTTACTACAAATCCTATGCCCAGATCATATCCCAAAAATTCATGGCTACTTATTGTTGAATTCCTTAGCAACTAAGAGATATTTGACCACTTCAACCATAGGGAGGCCACTGTCAAGCTAACAACATGATGTCCCATTTAATTATCATGCATCTGCTTTATCCATGACACCTATATCAACCTTACTTTTTGCCCACACTATATTGTCTACTCTAAGTCTTCACCTCTATGTAGGAGACTATCAATTCCAAGCTACTAAACCATTTTTTAAACTGTCCACCAAATACCTTCAAACTCTTATGTCCAAATGCAAACTCATTAACTTAACCCCAAAATCTGCACTTCCTCAATGTTCTCTTTCAGTTATAACACTAATATTCTTCAAGACACTACAATCAGAAACCTTGGGATCATATCTTACCATTTCTCCTTTTTCTTCTACTTGTCCAATCATTTTCCAAGTCCAATCAATTATTAATTAAAAAATCTCAAACCATACCCTTTTCTCAATTTTTCTGATAATGTCCTACTTCACACTTTACTGTTGCTCTTCTAAGCTATTCTGACAGCCTCCTCCTTAACTATCTGCCTTTGTTATTGGCAGTGTAAGTCATCTGCCATGCTGCTGCCAGTTAATGTATAGATTTGGACATCAGATTTAGATAGTATTTTAAAGGCATTTTAATTTTATTCTATTAAAATCCACCCAAAACAATATTAAAAAATGAATATACAGGGAGGAAAATCTAGCTGCAATGACACAAAATCATGTCACAACTCCTAACTACAAAATATGATGTAGATTTGCCAAATACTGTGAAATTTGGAAGACAACAAGTACCCTGAAAGCCAACAAATTTACCTTCAAAGTTCAATCAATTATAAATTTCTCCATGAATGACCCAATTTTGAAAATTCTATACGATCACATTTTAGAGCTTTAAGTCATAGTGCCAGTGGTGGACCACCAGAGCGGAAGGAAAATACCCTTACACTACCAATTTGACATCATTGGAAGAAGAGCAGTAGGATGAAATGCCATTTGTATCACTTTCAACCTAACCTCTTAACCAAAGAGACTGCTAGAGGTAAAGCAAAGTAAAGAATGGAGAAGTGACAGCAAATGTCAAATCACCAGAGAGCCTGGGATTCATGTCAGGCTTTGTTACTGCTAAGGACAAATCCTCATATGATGTGCCTAAATCAGAGCTGCAGGATGTTCCACCACTTCTACCTCTTGCCCTACCCACTTTACATTTTAAATACACTATAATCATAAAGGAATCAGCAAAGGATCTATTCATGGCAATGAGGAAGAGAAAAAAGAAAATAATGAAATACAGACAGAGAATAGGTTTAGACAGGTAATAGGCAATATAATCACAGGGGGGAAAAGGTCAAAAATAGATATGAAGAGTCAAATAAAACCTACATTTTTTTTAAAAACTGAAGGAGCTAAAAAGCAAGCTGGAAGAATTAAGAGAAGGAATTTTATGGAAATAAAAACATTAGAGATAAAATCATTGTAAAGCTAAAAATGTGATAATCACAACTAGAAATACATCATCAGAGATACAGTGAATAGTCCAGAGAAACCATGCACACACCGAGCTAATCATGGGAAAACGTAGAGATATGAAGACAAAATAAAATGAACAAATACAGAATCCATTAAGAGAACAGAACATGCAGATTTGAAAAAGATTGAAAGACCTGTTTAAAGAAAAATTTTGTATATAATTCTTGATCCTGAGATCAAAGGATATGTCATTCCCATAGAAATTTGATACTGGGTGTGCAGCCACAGGACATATTCTGATAATATTACCAAACTTATTGGGCAAGAAAGAATTTTACCAAACATCCATTTAGGAAAAGAAACACGTAAAATCAAACAAAAAATGTTGACTTGTGATTTCTCTGCCTTACCCCTCAGAGCCTGAAGATAATGCCAAATCTAAAAAGTCCTTTTTAGACTCAGCTAAAAACTTCTTTCTAGTATAAAAAGAAATCAGGTAGGTATTTTCACCCTGCAAAAGCTCAGGGAATAGAAACACAAGAGCCCTTTTTGGAAAATTGGTGATGAGGACTAACTAATGTAACCTCTTTAATAATTTTCAATTCTATTCCTTCCTAATGAACCTCATCATCTCAGTTGTGGTCCAGGCTTTCCTTGTTTACTTGCCTGAATTACTAGAGCAGTGCTCCACTGCAGACTTCATCAGTTTGATCCATCTTCCTCAAATTACTCAAATGACCTTTCTAATACAAATACTCCTATTTCTCCTTTCAGTGATGCCTTACTGCCTTCTGGATGAAATCTTGTCTTTGCAGGACATAAGCATTCTATCTTAGTTCATCCTAGGCTTAACTTTCCCAGTCCCATCTGTTACTACTCCTACCCACACAATATATGCTCTACCCATTATTTCCTGGAAAAAGCCTTCCCTGACATCTCCCCCCTCCTAATATGGTAATGTGCCCCCTCTTATTAATTTATAGTATAATTAATGATTTTCTTAGATATATCTTTATCATAGGATTATCAAATAGCTTGTTAAATAAGTTGGCATCTTCTCATTTCTCTATTTCCATGTGCTACTCATATATATCAACTTTAAAAAGTTATGATCCTCCATAAGCCTGGATAATTTTGGCCTCTTGACTTGCTTACCAAATACTTTTCCTTCAAATATCAGTTCACATTTCAGCTCTGCTGTCAGAGTCTTTCATATTGTCCCACCTCTTATTTTTTTTCTAGTACTAAGCTTGTACTTTTGCTTCCAGGTCATGTTGTATTATACCTTGCATAGTAAGTTTGTGTTTCCATGTCTGCTTCCTGCACAAATGTAAGTGTATGGAGAGGACAAGTAGTTCTTTATTCATCTCTGCAGTCCCCATGGCACCCAGTATTGTACTGTGGTGGGAGCTCAGGGATTCTAAGCCTCAAGGAGAATATTATGCAAGTAGGTGCCAACATAAATAAATCCCCCAAAGTCTGTCAGAGTAAAGAATCTGAGGGAGGGGTAATACATAGATAACTGTATTATACTCTATATATACTGCATTGTACTGTATATTATACTGTAAATACTGAATGCTGTATAATATTATGAGCTAAACAGAGGGTACTTATGAAATACTTCACCCACACTGTAAAGGGAAAGAATGTCAGATGCTCTTGCATAGATACAGTTCTCTAGAATAAGTGTATGAAACATTTCTGTTAGTAGAAGCGACCCTTTATCATTGCTCAGTATAATTTATCCCTTGTTGGCAATATCCTATTAACATAATGCTCCTCTCAATGTAACCAGTTTAAAACTCAATTCATGAGACTTTATGTTTAGAATGAATGTTTACCCTATATTAATGCAATATACATTTCTTAGCAATTAATATGGCTTTTTCCACATATTATAAATGGTTGTATTTCTATTAGTGTATACTTCCTTAATGAACTTTATTTCCAAAAACAAGTTTTAATACAAATTTGGAATCCCCATTCATTCAAGTTAGCTAGCAATTCTTTAAAGGTTCTCAAATAACATATCAATCAAAACTCGACAAAATTCCATTTCTGTTTCTTCTAAAGGCATTTTACATTTTAATGCTTTTATTAAGAATTTGAAAAAATAAATGGTAGTTTGAAAAGTGCACAAGTCTCAAATGGTTAAAACTATTTTCTGCAAAAGAAAGTATTAAAGTTTATATTGTGTCATGTGTTGAAGCTAAAAAGGGAAATTTTAGGTCAAATTTCTACTTACCCAATCAATTTTGTCCACATTCCAGTATTTTTTTAAATCCCGAAACTGTATTAGCATTCCCTTCAGTCCCACAACAATAATACTTGAAAGAACACACTAAAAATAAGAAATAAATTGATGAAGAAGCAAGATAAAGATTTTAATCTAAATTTAAAAGGAACAAGTTTTCTTTTTAAGTATTTACTAGAGAGAAGCAATCGCCATTTAGAAGATTAAAGCAATATACATTTTGTTTGGAACTAATCTATTATTGTACTTTAGGAATATAATATCAGTCCAGAAAGTCACAGGGTAAAATTTATGCCATATGAAACACAACAAACAGAAAAGTAGTGAACTGCAAGGGTGAATGTTATAAGGCTAAATGTACTCAACTTTGTAATTATTCACTGTCCTTTTTTTGAAATTTGTTTGTTGCAAAAATTGTATATTTATATCATGTATTTCTTTAGAATTGCCCTGCGTATCAATTATCTGGTTTAGCCCAAAGGTATTTATAACTCTCTTGAGAACTGAACTTGATTATTGGAAGATCTCCAGTGCAAATCATTTATTCTCACTACATGAGTGAAGAATTAAAATAGGACAGGACTGAGACTGTCTCTGGCTCTGTGGAGACCAGGCTCTTTCTTGCCTCACTCTGGTGCCCCAGGCTATGAAGAGCAAGGCAAACACTGGTACTCGTGTTCTGAGTACACTGTGTAAAGAAGTAGCAAGGGTCGCAAGATATATTTTGTTCCCTACACCATCAACCAGGACACATGTTGTAACAGCCCAAGTTCTGATACAATTCTTATAACAGAGATTGCCTAGTTCTACCCTCCAAAGTGCACAAAATAAATCTAATTTCCCCAATGCCATTTTTATATGTGAGCCTAAGAATTAGAAAACAGCCATTGTATCCTTCCATTCTCCACAACATGGTCTCTTTCCACCTTTCCTTCATTCAATAATTATTCATGTTACATAATTTCAGATTTAGGGTCATTGAGGTTACTCTTCTAAGGAATTTCAATATACAATGATTCTCATTTAAAATAATGTTAAAAAGTAGATAACAAAAAAGCACTACTATACCATGGGCAGCCAGTAAAGCAAAGGTCCTACTGCATAGATGACTATCAGGACAAAAATGCAGGATATTAGACAAGCCACCTGTAAAATACAAGATAGACAAAAAAAAGAAAACCTTGAACTTTCTTATCAATCTGAAGTTATAGGGGAAAGATAAAATTCTTAGTTCATTTTGATTAGAAAAAAACAAATGTTGGCATGTGATTGTTAAATTGCACAGACTATCATCATCTATATTTTGCAGCTGAGAGGACCCAAACGTGACAGCTGACAAACGGGTGCAATCAAATGAAGTCAGTGATGAGAGAAAAGCAATTCTGCACAAAGAAATAGGACACCATCAACTTTTATCACACATCACAGCAATGGCTTTCTTGTTTAATAGTGAAAGTGACATTTCAATTAAAAGTCCTTTAGCCTGTTGTGATTCAGCTTGACTCCCCTCCTCCTTTCTTAGAAAGTTGTTTGGGTAATAACTGAATATGCAGCTTAGTGTTTTTCTGTGCTAATGATAAATTTCCATTGAAGCTTTTACTCTATTCTTTGGAATTCTTGGTTAGAAAGGGCTCTAGTACAAAACAGTTATAAGGCATTATGGGAACAGTCTCTGGAGTGAAACAGATTTAATTTTATTAATCCTGAAAAGTCATTAGTATCATGTTCTAACCAACTCAACCTGCTGACAAAAGGTAATTCAAAACACTTGACCCCTAGCTATTCTCCACTTGATGGAGAACCTGATTTCACATATGCAAATGTTCATCACTTAGTAAAAATGCTTGGCCAAACAGGTAGCCTAACAAGAGGAAACAGGGCTTTTATAGGGCCACAAAGATGCCGAGGATATCATTATGGAGCTATCAAATTGGGACCTATTAGAATGGCTAAAACCAAAAATAAATAATAAACAAACAAATAATATCAAAGGCTGGCAAGGACCCAAAAGAACTGCAGTTCTCAGACATCGCTGTTGGGAATGCAATGGTTCAAGCACTTTGAAAACAGTTTGGCAATTTTTGATGAGCTTATGCATACACTTATCATATGTCCCAAAACTACCTAAGAGAAATGAAAACATAAGCCCATGCAAATATCTGTATTTACACCAACTTTATTCATAAACACCAAAAAAACTATAAATAACTGAAATGTCCACCAACTGGTGAATAGATAAAGTGTGATATACCCATACAACAGAATACTACTCAGCCATAGAAAAGAACAGACCATTGATATATGCAATGGCATGAATGAAACCATCCGCCTAAGTGAAGGAACACAAGTTCTTCCTATTTAATGGAAGTCATCTCCAGCATTCCTGAGCATATGAAGGGGGAAAAAATCTTTGTGTGAGAAATAAGTCATTAGGGAACCACAGTTACCCATAAAAGAAGCAATAGTACATCGAACTGTTACAATACTGATCACTTAGAATTAATTGCTGATCTTACATAAGAATTTTTGAATAACAAAATAGGATGTCTGTTATTCCACTGGACTGGAGAGAGCTAGGTGTCAGAGAACAGATCATTCAGATAGCACAGTAAGTGACTCAGCACATCCATGTTTGTCTGGAAAGAAAAGGGCACCAACCTGGCTAAGGTTTATTTCATGACAAAAGACAATGTCATGCACTCTTTTTGTGGGACTGTTCACTCATACACTTGCAGTGTACCAGAAAATAAAACCCTTAATGTTAGTTGAGGATATAAACTTTGGGCAATTGTGGTCTAAACTCCTTGGAAAGATCTGAGGCACAGAGAGACAAAGTGACTTGACCCAGGTCAGAGAGCAGAGGAGTTTTAGAAGGCATATGGATTTTGAACTGAACTGGAATCCATAAAGCCAAATATATCTTAACGTTCTTAGAAATAATACTTAAAGATGTTATAGAAATTTCAGTCTAACTATATAATTTTATTTAAAAACAGTAAACTGCAACTACCTTTTTGGCTTTTCTCTAAATAATACTTAGCGTTTCTTCACAAGGTTTTGCATATGTATCAAAAACTCTGTACATGTTGAACTATAATTTCAGTCATTGCAAAAATGAGCTAAGGGTTAAATGGGTGTTACTTGCAAAGGGTGACAAACTATGGATGAAAAAGACCATTCATCTTAGATGGTAAGTGTATAATGAAATAGACCATATAAGCAAACAGTTTATGTTAGCTCCTTTGCACTTACTTGCCTTATCACTGTTGATGCCCTAGGTCAAAAGGTAAGTACATCTAATTGGACAAGAAATCTTGATCAGTTCTGCCTAGTACATCAACTCCTCAGGCAAGGAAGTCAATAAAGTAGTAGTTTCTGTCCTCAATACTCTCACAATATTGACATTCATTGTCCCCATAAATAAGAGGCCCAGATGTTAAAGTTTGCATTTATAAAAAATCTTGAGAGATCTGCAATCCAAGCCATCATTTCAAAGATGGCCAACTTGGTAACTGTACAAAGAGGCTAAACTGAGATCAGATATTTGCAGTACTATCACAGACTTCTGTAATAACCCAGTTGAGCTATATTTTCGAGTATTACCCACTTCCTGGGATATCCATTGCTTTGCGTATGAAGTACTGTTTTCTTATAAATCTCTGATGTACCAAGGGAAAGATGTTAAAGGCAAGTTGCAACCAGAATAAGAGAAAAGCTTGCTCCTTTTTTAAAACTCAGAATATAGAACTTAAGTGCCCTCTTCTTAGTAAGTTCAGGCTGGATTAAGTTGTAGCTAGTGAAGAAAAGTGTTCACATTCTTAACTACCCACAAGGCAAACATTTTCTAAGTATTTTACTCTTCAACTTTTGTGTCCTACTAACTAAATGTACAAAGACAATTTTTTTTTACTCTAAAATCACAACTACTCATATTTGAGTTAATTTTGTATATAGGATAATGAAGTCTCTGTTTTCTTCTTGCTACATTCTTAAACAAATATTATATATGTTGCAGGTTGCTTACAAAGATGACTGTCCAGGCATTTGTGTTACCCATACCTACACATGTGGCTGTAGGAAGAGTGAGATGCCCATCATTTCATCCTAAATAGTGACAGAAGAATGCAAAGTAGGTGGAGAGCTCACTACATGCACAGCATTGTGGAAAATAGTGGAACAACAAAAGAGATGGGAAAGGGCAGAAAGAGAAAAGACAGAGGACACTAGGTAACTATAGCTAGATTAAGAAGGCCTTAAAGAAGTTGGAGGCAATAAGCCAAATTTTGAAAGAATAAAGGAATATAATTTGGCAAATTAGAACCCAGAGGCAATCTCAGTGTTGCAGCAAAACATGCCAGCTGTCGTTTTCGACTTAGGCTGAGCGTCGCCGGCAGCAGATGCTGCCTATCATCCTTCATGTCCGGGTTTTGCCTGCAGGACTGCCTAGAGAGCGCCAGCGTATCCGCTCTGTTGGAAGCAAAGAGAAGCATGCACAGGAGAGAGCTGGGGCACGCTGTCTCCCTCCCATAACTAACGTTCTTCAGAGGGAAAGATACAAGAAAGACCTGCAACATTTATTTGTGCTTTATGTCTTGGCAGCACCAAGGTTTTCTTTTTCTTATATACCCATGCTCTGGATGTCACACCTTAAGGGAATTATTGTAAAAAGGGCTCCCACATGTGGAGGATAGAAATGTGTTTGAGCTTTTGACCACAGTACTTGGCATTAAATGATTCATTATCTTTTGTTATTTCAAACATTTCGGTGTGATTTTCTAAAGTACTGAAAGGCTTTATTATCAACTCACTTGTATGTAAAATGGGACTAAATTCACTAACATAGCCACAAGCGGCTCTTGATAATTTGAAGTGTGGCTAGTTTGTACCAAGACATGCTGTAAATGAAAAATAAACAACAGATTTTGAAGCTTTAGTACAAAAAGAATGTAAATTATATCATCAATCACTTCTAGATTGATTCTTTGTTGAACCAATATTTTGACTCTATTGGGTGAATCCAAATACATTATAAATTTAATTTTCTGAGTTTTTCTACCTTTAAAAATATGACAGTTTAAATTATCTATGTGTGTGGCTCATATTTCTACATGGCTCATATTTTTGTTTCTATGGGACAATACTTCTCTAAAGTCTATGATCTTAAGCCTGGTTTCAAGTTTGATTTTTCCACCTTCAAGTACACTATATCAAGTCCCAGTAAAAATGCCTGACTTGACCTGTCCCCTTTAACGTCAGCAAAACTGATTAGTTTTATCATTATTGATACTTTCAGTTTTCATTTTTTATATTATTTTTATTTTTTTTATTTTGGTACAATTACTTGAACAACATTATGGTTACTAGACTCCCCCTATTATCAAGTCCCCACTACATACCCCAGTACAGTCACGGTCCATTAGTGTAGTAAGATGCTATAGAATCACTACTTGTCTTCTCTGTGTTATACTGCCTTCCCCATGTCCCCCCCTACATTATATGTGCTATTCATAGTGCCCCTTTTTCCCCCTTATCCCTCCCTTCCCACCCATCCTCCCAGTCCCTTTCCCTTTGGTAACTGTTAGTCCATTCTTGGGTTCTATGAGTCTGCTGCTGTTTTGTTCCTTCAGTTTTTGCTTTGTTCTTATACTCCACAGATGAGTAAAATCATGTGATACTTGTCTTTCTCCACCTGGCTTATTTCACTGAGCATAATACCCTCTAGCTCCATCCATGTTGTTGCAAATGGTAGGATTTGTTTTCTTCTTATGGCTGAATAATATTCCATTGTGTATATGTACCACATCTTCTTTATCCGTTCATCTACTGATGGACACTTAGGTTGCTTCCATTTCTTGGCTATTGTGAATAGTGCTGCAATAAACATAGGGGTACATATGTCTTTTTGAAACTGGGCTCCTGCATTCTTAGGGTAAATTCCTAGGAGTGAAATTCCTGGGTCAAATGGTATTTCTATTTTGAGTTTTTTGAGGAACCTCCATACTGCTTTGTACAATGGTTGAACTAATTTACATTCCCACCAGCAGTGTAGGAGGGTTCTCCTTTCTCTGCAACCTCACCAACATTTGCTGTTTGTCTTTGATGATGGCCATCCTAACTGGTGTGAGGTGAAATCTCATTGTGGTTTT